TATAATGACGCCCTAAGGTTATTATTGAAAAGACCTAGATGGACGAGTGCTAGTGAATTGTTTGTGTTATCTCGAATCAGTACATTAAGAAACGTAATGTATAAATTTATTTATTTGTCGCTTGAACTGTTCTGAAAATATCATTTTATTGTTGACCAATGTTGCATACAGTGACATGAGATTTACTTCAACTCTGGAAACACTGATATGCCTGCCTTTTAAAGGGATAGTAGTTTATGGTGGATGTCTTGTATTCGGCTTTTCTTGTTGTTTCCTCTTCTTTCCTTTTTTATAGTTTTGTTTTTACTTGGACCTTGAGTCTATAATAAAGTGTCATTCATTCATTCATGCTTGACTGTAGGGATGGTGTTCTTAGGATCATACTTAGGATCATCAGCATTTTTCGTCTTACCAAACACAGCAAGTCAAGTTGATGCCAAAGAGCTCAATTTTGGTCTCATCTGACCACAGCACTTTCTCTCAATCCTTCTCTGAATCATTTAGATGTTCGTTGGTAAACTTCAGACAGACCTGTAGATATGCCTTCTTGAGGAGGGGCACCTTGAGGGTGCTGCAGGATTTCAGTCCATGGTGGCGTATTGTTTTACCAATGGTTTGTTTGGTGACTGTGGTCCCAACTGCCTTGAGATCATTCACAAGCTCCTCCCGTGTAGTTCTGGGCTGATCCCTCACTTTTCTCATGATCATCCTTACCCCATGAGGTGAAATCTTGCATGGATCTCTAGACCGAGGGCCATTGATGGTTAGTTTGTATTTCTTCCATTTGCAAATAATCGCTCCAACAGTTGTCTCAGTTTATAACATTTGTATCATGTGCTTCTTTGGGATTTTTGCTGATGGTCTTGTAGCCCGTTCCAGCCTTTTACAGGTCTACAATCTTGTACCTGATTTCCTTTGACAACTCTTTGGTCTTGCCCATGGTGGTGAGGTTTGAATAGAAGACGGAGAAACGTGTCCTTAGGAGCACCTTCTTAAATTGACAGGACTAATTTGTGCACCACATGAGCACATACCCAGTCTGTGGGAGCCAGAATTGTTGTTGGTTGGTAGGGGATCAAATACTTATTTTATTCACTGAAATGCAACTCAATTTATAACATTTGTATCATGCTTTTTGGGGATTTTTTGTTGATATTCTGTTTCTATCCTTTAGAATAAACCTATGATGAAAAATGATAGAGCTTTCATTTCTTTGTAAGTGGGCAAACGTCCAAAATCAGCAGGGGATCAAATAATTCTTTTCCCCACTGTATTCTCCACTGCTGCAGAGGTAACATAAACACCACCACAACCGAGTGCTCTGCTCTGTTCTTCTCCTGTCCCCTTTACTATACACAACAGCTTTTAAACACCAGCAATGGAAGAAGTACTCTGATTATTTACTGAGGTAAATTAGGAGTACCACAGTGTACAAATACTCTAGGTAAATGTCCTGCATTCAAAATATTAAGTAAAAGCACAAACGTACAGTGAGGAACACTTTTTTAATTCTGTCTCTCAGAGTGGGAATGCACCTACAATGTGAATTTCAGACCCCTCCATGATTTCTAAGTGGGAGAACTTACAAAATCGCAGGGTGTTCAAATACTTCTGTTCCTCACTGTATATGCATCAAAATATAGCCTACAGTACTCATCAAGCAGATTGGCACACTGATTGATAGATACAGTAGATACTTTAACTGTGATATTATTGATGCATTATTGTGTTAATCACATTTGATGTGGCAGCTGGTAAAGGTGGAGCTAATTTTGATAACCTTATATACCTATAATTTCAAGTACTTTACATACTGCTCAGTAGCGATATGTAAAGTAGCCTGCCTGGTTTTGATGCTCATCAGAACCAGTTAGCTTAACTGTGCTAAGCTTTATCAGCAGCTCAGTGCTCAAAGGACAGAAATCAGTTTGATACACAGTAAATTAGACTGAGTCAAAATATAGTGTGTGCCCCCCCCCCCCACACTAGCCTTTTGTTTCCTTTTTTTTTTTTTCAAATAATTTTTTTAATCGAAAATTGTTCTGAATCGCATAGTGACACCAACAATCTGAATCAAATCATGCCAGAGATTCTCACCCCTATTTTACTTTGTAATTTTGTTGGCATAAAGGTGTTTTATTGTTGTTCTAATGTGTGTCAATGGAAAGATTTATTTTTCCATAGTTTTTCCCAATGCTGTAAATTTGAGATTTGTAGATTTGAGCCCTTCTGTGAAATCATCACAGGCATCAAATCTGTCAGATATAAAGATACTTATTATGTACAGACAATAGCAATGTAAAATCCCCAAAAGGACTGTATTTGCCAAAGATTCATAATGTCTTTCAGTTTTTGTGCTTTTTCACTCGTACTTTCTGCCCTTTCCTCTCTTTTATGTCTGACTCTCTATCTGTATCCCTTATCATCTGAGGGCTAGCCGTATGGCTCTTGTGTTCATTGTGGAAGTCGGAGGAAGGGCTTAGGGAGTGGCTCAGGGGCCCTCAGCTGCGGCGCTTCCCACCAGAGTGACCTCCAACCCCTGGTGCCATTAATCACTAGGCTCCTGATGGCCCTGTCCCTGGGGAAAAATCAGTCTGGGGCAAAGGATGATGGGAGGTGAAGCCTGCAGCCAATTACAGATTGGCTCAGAGCAGCCGAGTGGATAAATCAGGTCTTTACAGAGAGATGAAATACCCAGTTGTCTTTTTCAGTCCTGCATGGCCTAATGCCATGAAATGGTCTCATATCACTGATGATGATTTTTCTAAAGAAAAATAAGCAGTAAGGTTGGAAAGGAAACCGCTGTATCAGCAGACTGCATAAAATGGTAGGGTGTGGCAGATGAATTGTGCTGCTGGGATCAAAAGATGTTTTGGACTGGTCTAATTAAGCCTGTTAGAGCTAAATGTCTCCAGGGTTGGAAATGGAGCAGATGTTGGAGACCCAAGGCAGGCAGGACATTAATTCTCTCAAATTAGGGAATTCTGGGTAACTGTCCAAGTGTTGCTAATGTGATTTCTGGTCAATTACAGTATTATCAAAAGTGCTTTTCCAGTGCTTTCACATGTGGCTGGGCTGTGTTGCAATTTGAAACCTGGCTGGTGTCATGCTTTAATTAATACAGTTAATGCTGGTTTAGAGTATAAAAGCACCTCTGGTCCACTATCTCTACAGCCTAAAATTTGTAATTGTTTTGGCTTTCTTTGTGTGGTTATATGCTTTGAAAATAGCTCACTGTAAGCACTGATTTTGATTTAACACCAGGTGCTGATGAAGAAGTGAATACAATAAATGCATAGGTGTGAACTAAAGCCCGACTAAACTGTCACTGTGGTGCAAGTGCTGTTGTGCCTTGTTTGCTGTGCTCTCATTGTTCATGGCCGAGCTAGTATGAAAACATGGCTCCCTGCTGACCTGCAGTTTAATTCACACATCAATATCCCCTGGCTGATCTCTGACCCCTCTGCTTGTTCTGATTGTTTGATGTGAGATGGATGTTCAGCACGGCATTTAATAATGAGGGGCTGGCATCAAAGCATTCTTGGTGCCTTTCTCCACTGTGTGTTCTGGAAATGTTGCTGCCGCCCAGTGATGTACATGCAGTTTACAGTGCCACCTCACAGTAGGATTTATTTTGACAGGAATATGTATAACCAACAACCAGAAGGACAAAACATTTTCAAAACCTAAAATATAATGCGCTGTTGCTCATCATACCATTACATAATTGCAATTTATATACATTTATATACTATGGTTCAGTGGGTAGAGCAGTCGTCTCCCAGGTGGAGGGTCGGAGGCAATCCACATGTCGAAGTGTCCCTGGGCAAGACACCAACCACCACCAGAACCCCCATGTTGCCCCCGATGGTTCATTCGTTTTCAGTGAACACAACAGTAAAGAAAGCTACGTTGGTGTCAGTATTAAGTGATGCAGCAAGCAGGTCGGAGCTAAAGTGCCCTGATGGTGTTGCCACACTTTCCTGATCTCCACTCATACATAGGTCCATGTGTTAATCTAGGCTCCTTGCACATGGCTTAGAGGCATGCTGCTAACTTAAGAAAATAAGTGAGGTCTAATCGTAATGACCTGATCACATTACGGTTTTACACAGTCATTAATGTGTCCAATTTCAGGTTAAGAGCAGCCTGTGAAGAGGCTAAAGGGTTGACTGGCAAATCTGCATGACCCCCGGGCACTGGGCCAGGCAGTGCTAACAGCAGAGGGGCATGGATTTACTTGGTATATTTCTCTAAATCAGCTCCATTATACCAGTTTGTCCAGGAGCCCCCTATCCGCCAGTCCCTATGGAACAGCGGGTCATCACAGTCCGCAGTCCCCTCCTCCTGCTCTGTGCTTACACTGTTGCACATTGCACTGTTTGATTCTGTTGTATAAAGCAACGCACCCCCTTTTCCTTTCTCCTCACTGTGTAGCCCCCACTACATACTTCCTGCAAGCTTCACTGCATTTGAATCTTGTTGACAAGATTAATGCATCTGTATCAAGACTGGGACCACTTCGCTTTGTGTTGTTTGCAAGTCCCACTTTCCAGGTCAAGCCAGATTGCTGTAACTAGGATAATAACGGTCGCGCAGGCAACAGGCCTACCACACTTGCCTTACCAGCATCCTGACAGCACCTAGATCAGCATCTTGGGATCACAAAATGATCCCAGGTGTTTCAGCCTTGATTGATGGATGAATTACTACATAATGTAATGCTTGTCATTTTTACTCAAGCAGCTTCAAATGAATTTTCTCTGTTAGGTGCCAGTATGTCTCAGCCAGGATGCACACTAGACAAATTATCAACATTATGGTTTCCATTCCTGTTGAGATTGCCCATGTTGAAAATGCATGTATTTATGGTGCACAAATGCACTTTTAAATAAAATCTTCCACCATAAAGCATTAATTGTCCATCCCTGGAGCTGTCCTGCTCCAGATGTGTAATGTGCTGTATTCATTTATTTTATGGTTTTTCTCTCTCCCCACAGGAACCCCCGTCAATCGTATCCCCATCATGGCCAAACAGGTACTGGATCTATACATGCTGTACAAGCTAGTGACAGAGAAGGGAGGCCTTGTCGAAGTTATCAACAAGAAGATTTGGAGAGAAATCACAAAGGGACTGAACTTGCCTACCTCTATCACCAGTGCAGCTTTCACCCTGCGTACACAGTAAGTCTTTGTGTCGCCTTGATGCAGAACCATATGTCAAGCTTTATGCATATGAGAATGTATGTGGCATTACAGTTTGTGGATCTGTGGGTGCGTGTTGGTATGAAATCAGAGTTCAATATTAACCCATGTCTGTGTATTAATGCACATGCAAGTAGTTTACCCTCGACCAGCCGCCTTCCCTGTTCACATTCGGCCTCTCCATCCATTGCATCACACATGGAGTCCACTGATTCCCATACTGATGTGATGTGGGTTAGAGTTCACATTGACTAAGGTGGGCTTTGACTGACTTATATGCCAAGCCTCAACTACAACTGCCTCACTCTCTCAGTGGAAACCCTTAAGGTTAAGTAACACCTCTCTAGCCGGTTCACTAGTAGGGTGCCCTCGATGAACCTTTATGTATTTTTAATGTTGATGGGCTGTTGTGTAGTGCTGCTCTGTTAACCCTAACCCTAACACCTAATGGACACTGCTGCTCATGGCTTCTTATTGATCCTCGGTGCTGCTGTTCCACCATTATGTAGTCAGCATGCATAATATTGTGTTTTTTTTTACAGTGTGGTCTGATAGGATAGAAAATATACCAGAGCTGTGACCTTGCATAATTATATAGCCAGTAGTTAAAGTATACTCGGAAAACAAAGCATATTTTGGCACAATTGTCATACCAGATATCTCATTAAATGCACTTAAGTAAGAAGGTTACTGTCGGTTTTCTGGATTAACCTGATTTTGTAGACGTTGACTGAACAAGGCCAGGTTTCTCTCATTAGGGTAGGTGATTAGAGCAACTACTGGGTGTCACGCATGGTTTTTACATGTGTGAATGTGCATGAAAATCTGTAATCTCACACTGGGAACCCTGTCCTCTCACTGCACCTTTAGTAATGTACTGAGGAAAAAATAAAAAAAAATCTTATGGAAGCAACATCTTATAGCACTAATTCATGTAAAATTGCACAGACTTAAATGTGCTGTGGTAAGAGGAACAATATATTTACATATTGACTGAATTTAACAACCACCAATCAGTTTACTGTGGTACATGTAAACACGTGGCACGTCTCCAGTTTCCTGCCTCAACTGTCTTTCCAAAAGCCTGATTCCATAGATGCAAATGCAGGGGAAAAACTGTAGAAAACCCTTTTTGTAGGCAACAACAGAACCTTGGATAACGGAGTATAATGTGTAGTGTTGTGTGTTAATATTCTTGACAGTGTTCATGCTGAAACATGGTGTTCATGATTTTGAATTTGGTTGTGGTGATGTATATTGCCATCATTTGAGGTGGTTTTACTTGATAAGTCTCAATGATAGTACTAATGCCATGTAAATATTTCTGTCATGATCCAGTGGGTTTTTTATGTATGCCTGTGCTTTCCCCTTAAGGTATATGAAATACCTGTACCCTTATGAATGTGAGAGGAAAGGCCTCAGCTCCCCGGGTGAGCTTCAGGCTGCCATCGACAGTAACCGACGCGAGGGTCGTCGTCCAAGCTACAGTAGCAGCCTCTTCCGCTTCTCTCCCTCTCCCAGCACAGCTCCCCACATCCTCTCACCTCCCAAGGTGCACTTTTCAGCTCTGGGAGCTGGGACCTCAGGGGCCCACAATGGCATGCAGGCCTCACCAGGACATTCTCTGAAGAAAGGTAGGAACCTTAAATTTGCACAGATAGTGAGGCTGCCTTTGTTTATGCATCTATATAAATGTGGAAGAAATAAGTTTACAATATGTGAGGTTTATCCTCTAAAGCAGGGGTGGCCAATCACAGTCATCAAGGGCCCTGCTTGTTTTCCAACTATCACTGCCCTTTCCACACTCCACCTTCATCACCTCACTCCTACCTTGCTGGGTTGATGAGGTGGCGCGAACCTACAAGATCATTATTTCTCAGACCAGTTTCTTGTAGAGGTTCCCAGGGCCAGATACAAATGCTGGGGTGACTGTGCTTTTACCATTGCAGCTCTTAAATTGTGGAATAGTTTACCTTCCGATATTAGATCATCTACAGACTTGACAACTTTTAAATCATTGGTTAAAACATATTTATTCACTTTGGCTTTTAATACCTAGTATTGTCTGATGGTTCCTTCTTTTAACTGTTGATTCTGTGTAGTTCGTGTGTTCATGTTCCTGTTTTGTTTTATTCCTGTATTCATCTTATTTATTTTAGTTCTTACCTGTCCTTGTAAAGTACTTTGGTCAACCAGATGTTTTTAAAGTGCTATATAAACATATTTTGATTTGATTTGATTTGATTTGAACTAACACGGTGTCTTCCAGCTTCTGATTGACAGAACGCACCAGATCCAGATAATCAGCGGTAGGTAGGGCAGGGATAGTTGGAAAACAAGCAAGGCAGTGGCCTTTGAGGACCAGGATTGCCCACCCCTGCTCTAATGCATGCCTGCCAGCAAGCAAACATGCAGTGCTCAGATAAACCTGAGTGCAACTATGAAGGGGAATGAAGGCTGTTAAAAAGAAGTATAAATGTTTCAAAATCTTTCTCTGGTTTCACTGGGCGGTGTAGAATGGAGTCTTCCAGTTACAGATGTTGAGGGACTTTCAAGTATTTATAGAGACATACTGCCCTCTGTCACAATTTAGAAAAACTACATCTCATCTTAACTGGATGAACAGGAATGAAACAGTACCTAGGTTAGGTTATGGCATTTTTCAAAGTACAACATGATATAAAGGCCTTGAAAGTAGACACACAGTCGACTGGCAGCTTGCTCTTTTTTTGACAAGTGTGTGTACTTGTGGGTATGAGAGTGTGTGCATGCAGGAATGTAGGCATGCAAGTGTGCTGTTACGTTTGTGTATTACACGACTCTCATTCCTTCCTTCAACTGCATCCCACTGTCAGTGTGTGCACATTTGGTGTGTTACATGGCTTTGTGGGTGTGTGCAAGGCTCCATGTGTAGAGTTCATCCAGGTGTTTAAGAGTCCATGTGGCAGCTAGTTTTGCTGCAAGCTGCTGAGAATTCTCACCTTTAATACTGATTAATAACATGGTTCCCAAGCCCTGGGGACACATTATGGACACTGAAGTCTCCAATCCACATCAGTAGCATCGTGCTGATAACTGTGATTACACTGCTGTCTGATGTCTCTTTGATTTTGTTGGAATGTTACTCTGCTTTGGACCTCAACAATATCAACAGTTTGACTTGTGTAGTGCCCTGTATTTTACCTGTCACATGCTTTATATAAGGTTATGTAGGATGTCATGTAATTTGACTGTCCAACTATTGATTGTTTACAACTCAAAATCAGCTCTGATTTCTTTTGATTTAAATCAGTGGTTCGAGTGCGAGAGTGCTGCGCCTTAACGACTAGCCTACCAGGGACTTGCAAATCTTTTTAATCCCATATTCATATGACAATAGTACAAAGACAACATATCAGATGTGGAGACTGAGAAATACTTTTTATTTTCATTTTTATTTTTTGGGGGGCGGACTAAACTTAATTTAAAATGAGCAGATTTTTTTTTTTTTTTTTTTATTTCTCAGTTTCCACATCTGATGTTATCTTGGTACAATTGTCATTTGAATATGGTTTTAAAAAGATTTACAAATCATTTTGTTCCTTTATAAATTTTTTATTTTTTTTTTTTTTTTTTTTTTTTACAATTTACACGGCATCCCCTTTTGTTTAATTTTTGGCTGTAAATAGAAAATGCCTGAAGCATAGTTTGGGAAGTTTATCCTGTGCTGATGACCTGTGTTGTTCATTACTAGTAAAATCGCGTTGTACATCTAGGTGTCTAAATTGCAGGTGTCTAGTTTTTCATAATATGCAACATTTTTTTGTGCTAAATTCTACCTTGTCACTCAAACTGATTTACGAGAGATTGGATGGTTTTTCAGTTTGCTTTTATAGTGAAATTGTGATCATCCTAGATTCATTGCAGTCTTTACTCTCCTATTCACTCCATTACATTGTGTAGCACAGACATAAACAGCTATTGATGTTCACCCTGTGCAGATTCCTGAATTTCATTTTCAGTCTATGAACTAATTCAAATGGATTTTTTAAATCAAATTAACCCTCTATTTGTCTCTCTTCCAGAAGAGCTGACCCCCCCCATCATGCCAGCTAGACCCTCCATGGCGCTGGCCTTGGGTCAGCAGCACGTTGCTGGTTTGGCAAGAGCTGCCACGCTGGAGCAGCTGAGAGAAAAGCTGGAGACCAGTGGCGGAGGAGAGGGGCCTGAGAGGAAGATGGCCCGCCTGGCAGAGGAGCAGCAACGCCTGATGCAGCAAGCTTTCCAGCACAACCTGTTGGCCATGGCTTCCCAAATGCCTGTGAACCTGCGGCTGGGAAACCCCCCCATCACCACCAGAGGGTTACCATTAAAAGAATGTAGAATTGACAAAATCCCAGTGATATTTGCCTCATATGCATAATTTCAATCAAAACATGCATCTGACAGTATTCTGTTGAAACACATACAGATTATGTTATGTACTGAACAATAAGGAACAATAATTGTAATCCTATAAAAATAATGTCGCTGATAATGGCTTGAAACAACAAAAACAAACTTTTACGAATCTATCTACATTATTTCCAGATATAAAGTACAAAATAATTTTATATATTGCAAAAGTATTCAGCTATTTGAAGTTGGTGTTAATCATAAATTCGGAGCCATTTGTTAGCATAGTGTTTCTAAGCCCACCGGTGAGTTTAAGAAACATTGAATGTGTTTACATGTACTTGAATAACTATCAGCTTTCTCCAGTCAGCTGATTTATAAACTATCATGTAAACAACACACCTGGTTACTGTAGTGTGCTGCACATACATTAATACAGTGCCTTGCGAAAGTATTTGGCCCCCTTGAACTTTGCAACCTTTTGCCACATTTCAGGCTTCAAACATAAAGATATAAAACTGTAATTTTTTGTGAAGAATCAACAACAAGTGGGACACAATCATGAAGTGGAACAAAATTTATTGGATATTTCAAACTTTTTTAACAAATAAAAAACTGAAAAATTGGCCGTGCAAAATTATTCAGCCCCTTTACTTTCAGTGCAGCAAACTCTCTCCAGAAGTTCAGTGAGGATCTCTGAATGATCCAATGTTGACCTAAATGACTAATGATGATAAATAGAATCCACCTGTGTGGAATCAAGTCTCCATATAAATGCACCTGCACTGTGATAGTCTCAGAGGTCCGTTTAAAGCGCAGAGAGCATCATGAAGAACAAGGAACACACCAGGCAGGTCCGAGATACTGTTGTGGAGAAGTTTAAAGCCAGATTTGGATACAAAAAGATTTCCCAAGCTTTAAACATCCCAAGGAGCACTGTGCAAGCGATAATATTGAAATGGAAGGAGTATCAGACCACTGCAAATCTACCAAGACCTGGCCGTCCCTCTAAACCTTCAGCTCATACAAGGAGAAGACTGATCAGAGATGCAGCCAAGAGGCCCATGATCACTCTGGATGAACTGCAGAGATCTACAGCTGAGGTGGGAGACTCTGTCCATAGGACAACAATCAGTCGTATACTGCACAAATCTGGCCTTTATGGAAGAGTGGCAAGAAGAAAGCCATTTCTTAAAGATATCCATAAAAAGTGTCGTTTAAAGTTTGCCACAAGCCACCTGGGAGACACACCAAACATGTGGAAGAAGGTGCTCTGGTCAGATGAAACCAAAATCGAACTTTTTGGCAACAACACACTCTTGTGTGTTACAGCCTGCTCAGTGTTTTATAACTAAGGTGTCACTTTATTTTTAAGCTCATTTAATAAGACAAGTTGAACCAGAACAGACTCATTTGGAGCAGCATAGAAACACATACAGTACACACATGGATCACTGTGTAGAGCTATGGGCAGCTTCTGCACAACTTCTATAATTAATTAAAGTCCCACTCCAGAAACATTTTCATTTTTATATTTGTATATAAAAATACTTTACTATAAACAATATGCAGTCTAACACAGCTTTTCCTCAAAAAAATTTCAGTGGGCCTCTGTAATAGGAATGAACATTGCCCCTCATTGTGCATTCCAGGATCTATGAATGTTGCCGTCATCCCTTATGTGGATTTGAATAATTTTGCACGCCCAATTTTTCAGTTTTTTTATTTGTTAAAAAAGTTTGAAATATCCAATAAATTTCGTTCCACTTCATGATTGTGTCCCACTTGTTGTTGATTCTTCACAAAAAATTACAGTTTTATATCTTTATGTTTGAAGCCTGAAATGTGGCAAAAGGTCGCAAAGTTCAAGGGGGCCGAATACTTTCGCAAGGCACTGTATGTATGTGAATTTACAGTAAGCAGGTGACTACAGTAAACCCAAATGCCCAGGTTACCTAAGTACATGTAAGTGCACTGAATATATCGTCTAAATGTACAAAAAGTCATCAATGCACTCACTGTTTCTTTCTTCAGAAGAGAAGCAGCAGGACATGTCTCTGAACATCTCAACCAATGGAAATGCCAGCATCACTGTCTCAGTGGAGGTTAATGGCACAATCTATTCAGGTGCGTATTGGGGAGGGGTTTTTAATTGTTACATACCATCAGTAAACCTCAACAATGTGGGGATGTCTTTCTAGGATTTATGTCCTGCAGCCTCTTTTTCCAGGTTTTTAGTAGGAGTGTGTGATACTGACAAAAAAAAAAGATATCTGGATATTTTCTGGGATTTTGTTGATCACAATAAGCCGACGATATTCTGCATCCATCAAATATGTGTTTGTCTTATATTGTACAAGGTTCTTATTGGCTCTTATTGATAGGATATTAATTTTTTGCTAATTGTTACCAGTGGTGTTGATGCAAACAACACATTTAAGAATAATTTTTTTTAACTTATAACTGAAGAATTAAAATAAAATAGTAAACCCATCCATCCATCTTCCTCCGCTTATCCGGAACCGGGTTGCGGGGGCAGCAGTCTAAGCAAAGATGCCCAGACTTCCCTCTCCAGACACTTCCTGCAGCTCCTCCGGGGGAATGCTGAGGTGTTCCCAGGCCAGCTGAGAGACATAGTCCCTCCAGCGTGTCCTGGATCTTCCCCGGGGCCTCCTCCCGGTGGGACATGCCCGGAACACCTCCCTAGGAAGGCGCCCAGGAGACATCCGAAACAGATGCCCGAGCCACCTCAGCTGGCTCCTCTCGATGTGGAGGAGCAGCGGTTCTACTCTGAGCTCCTCCCGGGTGACCGAGCTCCTCACCCTATCTCCTACTACTACTACTATACTTACTTCACTATACTTCACTCACTTATTGCACATTATTTAAAGGACCATGACATTGTCACTACATGTGGCCTCGGATTTGGAGGTGCTGATTCTCATCCCAGCTGCTTCACACTCGGCTGCAAACCGCCCCAGTGCATGCTGGAGGTCCTGGTTTGATGGGGCCAACAGGACAACGTCATCTGCAAAAAGCAGAGACGAAATCCTGTGGTCCCCAAACCGGACTCCCTCCGGCCCCTGGCTGCGCCTAGAAATTCTGTCCATAAAAATAATGAACAGAACCGGTGACAAAGGGCAGCCCTGCCGGAGTCCAACATGCACTGGAAACAAGTCTGACTTACTGCCGGCGATGCGAACCAAGCTCCTGCTCCGATCGTACAGGGACCGGGTGGCCCCTAGCAAAGGGCCCCGGACCCTGTACTCCCGAAGCACCCCCCACAGGGCGCTGCGAGGGACACGGTCGAATGCCTTCTCCAGATCCACGAAACACATGTGGACTGGTTGGGCAAACTCCCATGAACCCTCCGCCACCCTGAAGAGGGTATAGAGCTGGTCCAGTGTTCCACGGCCAGGCCGAAAACCGCATTGGTCCTCCTGAATCCGAGGTTTGACTATCGTTCGAATTCTCCTCTCCAGTACCCTGGCATAGGCTTTCCTGGGGAGGCTGAGGAGTGTGATCCCCCTTGTAGTTGGAGCACACCCTCTGGTCCCCCTTCTTGAAAAGAGGGACCACCAAGAGAGTGCCTCGGTCTGCCAATCCACAGGCACTGTCCCCATCCGTCATGCGATGTTGCAGAGGCGTGTGAGCCAAGACAGCCCCACAACATCCAGAGACTTAAGGTACTCGGGGTTGAACAACAACCCAGTAGAACAACGGAGTCCCCAGTCAGAGTGTTTTCCAGCACCCTTCCCAGGAACTCCAAGAAGGCCGGATACTCTACACTGCCATTCAGCCCATAGGCACAAACGGCGGTGAGAAACCTATCCCAGGTGTGATGTTCAAATATATGAGCACAGATGACAAACTGTGAACCATTTGAACATTTGAATTAAAAAAATTCTAAATATTAATGAAAACATCAAAATAAAAAGTACAAGTATTTGTGTTGGTTGGCATTTAGTTGACCAAGGAGAGAGTTGGAGAACAACTGGCCGCAAGGCAGTATAAGAACATGTTGCCTAAAACTTGGCTAAAATCTTAGGGTTTTGGCTGTTACCTGGACAAACGAGCTTTGAGGTCCCAGAAGTTGAGATTGCCATCCACATCTCCAAGCACCAGAGTGTCACCTTTCCAAGCAATGCAGGCAATACTGCCCATACTACCCTGCAACACAGGCAGAGAAAAGATGTTTACTGCAAGAACATGTTATGTTATAAAGAAAGAACAGCTGCACATTTGTCCCCTACTCATAGGTTCCTAATTAACACACTAATTAATTAAGTCAAGCATTTGAAAGCTAAGGTAAACCTAAACATTCATTTAACAGTCTTGATTTGAATTTTGCCTTAATTTTCAACTGTTTACAGACACCAAACTATAAGGTTTACTGTCTACTAGCCACACTAATGAGCTGCTGTAATTTTTTGAACCGATCTTAGTCTGCCCCGTCACCTGTTTGCCTTGGGATATCCTACTAGGGGCATATAGCCCCTGACAACATAGCTCCTAGGATCACTCGGGTACTCAAACCCCTCCACCACAATAAGGTGGCAGTTCAAGGAGGGGAAAACAGTAAACAAACATTTAATTACTTTTGCAGAATGATTCTACTAAAGTTGGTGCTGTGCCATGGCTGGTTTAGTCCTACCCTTAACAGCTGTCTCGTGAAACTTTTTATATATTTAATATTCTGTGCAGTGATTAGTTTACAGGTGGTGAAACAAGCTTTCGAGTTGTTTCTAAAGCAGACAGTTTCCGACAGTCTTTTCAAGGCCAAAATACCTCCATGCAAGGGAGGATGATCCATGTCTAGTAAATAACAACGTAAATTGTGGAGCTGGTGGTGTCAGTGTTTTGTCTCCTGGTTCTGGTTGTTCACTCATTTTTAACTTTGCCAGTGGATTTTTAGGCAGCTACGCTAGCGTAATTTGTGGTGCATTACCATGTGCACACTACGAAGCAGTAGTCTATCCTTCCTGGCTTCATGAGGCCATGAATCTGTGGACTCTTAAGGCGTGTTTT